AGGGCACTCTGGAGCCCGTCGCAGACCCTCAGGTCCCACGTGAGGAGACAGCCCGCTAGAACACAGCACCGCCCCTGCCGCCCGGAGCTCCCGGCGGCTCGCAGGACACCTGCACGTCGTGCGGCGGCTTCCGGCGGCCAGAGGAGCTGGGCCGGGTGGACGGCGACTTCCTGGAGGCGGTGAAGCGGCACATCTTGAACCGCCTGCAGATGCGGGGCCGGCCCAACATCACACACGCCGTGCCCAAGGCCGCCATGGTCACGGCCCTGCGGAAGCTGCACGCGGGCAAGGTGCGCGAGGACGGCCGGGTGGAGATCCCGCACCTCGACGGCCACGCCAGCCCGGGCGCCGACGGCCAGGAGCGCGTCTCCGAGATCATCAGCTTCGCGGAGACAGGTGGGTCGGCCCCGCGAGCGGCCCTCGCTCCCCCCTCCACCCCCTTCTCGCCGGCTCTGGCCGCCGCCGCCGCTGCAGCCAGCGCGCCCTGGGGGAAACCCGGACTCCCGGCCCAGCCCGCTCGCCTCGGGCCCTGCGCGCTCCGTCCCGGTCGTCGTCCTCTTCCCGCGGGCAGCAACCCCTTCCCGCTGCCCTACCCCCGCCGCGGAGCGCTCTGCTCTGCACCCCTGCTCTCCGAAACGGGCCCCAGCGCCTCCGGGCGCGCACTCCCCTCCCGGCCAATGCGTGCGGCCCTGGCTCCGCGGGCATTCGCTCGGTGATGGCTTAATGTTTTTGTTTCCCACGATCGGAGTGTAGGCTGAGCAGTGTGGATGGAGATGTGTGTGCTTGTTGATATCCGTGGGCCGGAGGAGTGTGTGTGTGTGCGTGTGTGTGTGAGTGTGCCTGCGTGAGAGGCCCCTGGGGCCGCTTCCATCGCCGAGTGGTGTGGGCTTGCCAGGATTGCTGAAGCCTCGCTGGGGAGAGCTAGGCAACCTCTCTTCCGTTTCTGTGGGCACCGGAATCGGGCAGGTCCCATCATTTACGCAGAGAAAGACAGTGGCTCGGCTCCGGGGCAGCCCCGTGCCTTTCGGCTCGTCTGGCAGCGGCAGCAGCTCCTTGGCCTTAGAGCCAGTAGAGTTGGTAGTTAACAAAGGGTCGGAGTCCTTTCTGGAATTTTCCCCCGGCCCTGAATTGTAAATTTCTACCACTGTCTAAATGTAAAAATCAAGCAAGGAAAAATACCTTTCCAACTTTAAAAGGAGTAAAATGTGCTCGTGCTGAAATGCTGCAACTGCTTTCGGCTCCGCTGTCCTTTTCAGGACTTGAATGAGCCCGGTGGCTTTTGTGCCTGGAGCTTAGCCCCATTTGTGCCCAGGGGACTTCGGAGAAGGTTGCAGGGGGAAGCCCTGGGCAGGGTGGGGTGGGCAGGGAGCCTTGGGGGGGGGGGGGGGGCATTTGCAGCCTGGGGACACAATTGCCCCCAACCCCCCCCCCCCAAGGCAGCGGGCAGACTGTGCTGGTGCCTCCTCCTGGGGATGAAAAGGGATGAAAAGTTTTGCATGGCCGGGTGTGGAGCAAAGCAGAGACAATCAGGGCTGGTTTGTGCTTAGAAAGAAACACGTTGCCGTTTTAGCTGTCCGACAGACTCAGGGAAAGCTGGACATGCAATTAGAGAGCTTGGATTAAACGGTGCTTTGGGGCCCAGAGTAGAAATGTGATTCTGGAAGGTCGAGGAGGCCTTTTGGTCCCGGTGGCACAAAATGACAGCGGGGGCTGTTATATTTCTGGTCCGTTTCACGGAGCCAGCTCTTTGACTTATAAATAACAGATTCAGGTCACAGGCAGCTCGTCCAAGACCAGCTTTTAAGGCTGCACTTTCCCCCATTTCAAAGTCAGATGTCTGTTATTAGAGGAGCCAGGCGGGGCCTGAGGAGGGGGCTGGGAGGGGGGCAGTGGTAGGAGGTTTGATAAAACCAGCGGAGGCCACACAGTTGCCTTATTTTTTCTTCCTGCAAAAAAAAAAAAAAAAAAAAAAAAAAATGTAGAGATTGTCAGAGAGAAGGGTCACTGAAATGTAGGATGAGAGAGGAGTCCTCTTGGTTGGCATGGCCTCACTTCTGCTTGAGCTAAATTATTGAGAAAACTAACAAGCCAGTTCTCCTTATCCATGGAGATTTCGAACGTGCCATTCACGGGGAGCCAGGGTCTCGTGAAAGGGGTGGGCCTCAAGTTTCAAGGCCCAGTGTCCTGTCCCTTGGAGCTACTCGGAAACGAGGGCTGCACTTTGCAGCCTGCAACGCACACGTTCCTGTGTCAGAAATCTAAGCAGAGCTGGCTTGTTTGCAGTGGAGGTTCCACTGGGGGTTGGATCAGATCATGCTTAGGTAAACACTGCAAAGAGGCAGTAGGTGGCTCAGCTGGATTTTGCAATGCCCTAAGTTAACCAAAAAAAAAAAAAAAAAAAAAAATAAAGAACCCAAACTCTGCTAGAACAACCCACCCCCAAATCCTCAGCGAGATCCTGGTTTTGTTTTTCGGATTTCACAGACACCCGTAACAACTTGTTAAGATCTTGGCCTCCTGACAAGTTCCTCTGTTGAGCTTTGAGTTCTGACAGCCTGTCTCCTGGGAACCCTGGCCTGCGAGAGGTGAGGCCGGGTTTTCTAGGCCCGGACCCTCCGACTCCAGCCTGGTCCGGGTTTCTGGATGGGAAATGATTTTCCCCGCCCCTGCCGGGTTACCATCAGAGGCCCGGGCCCCAGGAGAGGTATTTGCGGGCGGGGCCGGCCAGTGCGTGGCCAGTGCGAAGCCCGGCATCACGCGGCAGAGTCCCTGTTTCCCGGGGCCTCACGTTCTCCTTGATCTAACTTGGCCCGCTCTCCCGCTTCTCCGCAGATGGCCTGGCCTCCTCCCGGGTCCGCCTGTACTTCCTCATCTCCAACGAGGGCAACCAGAACCTGTTCGTGGTGCAGGCCAGCCTGTGGCTCTACCTGAAGCTGCTGCCCTACGTGCCGGAGAAGGGCGGCCGGCGGAAGGTGCGGGTCAAGGTGTACTTCCGGGAGCAGGGCCCCGGCGAGCGCTGGGCCGCGGTGGAGAAGCGTGTGGACCTCAAGCGCAGCGGCTGGCACACCTTCCCGCTCACCGAGCCCATCCAGGCCCTGTTCGCGCGGGGCGAGCGGCGGCTCAGCCTGGACGTGCAGTGCGACGGCTGCCGGGAGCTGGCCGTGGCGCCCGTGTTCGTGCACCCGGGCGAGGAGTCGCACCGGCCCTTCGTGGTGGTGCAGGCGCGGCTGGGCGACAGCCGGCACCGCATCCGCAAGCGGGGCCTGGAGTGCGACGGCCGGACCAACCTGTGCTGCCGGCAGCAGTTCTTCATCGACTTCCGCCTCATCGGCTGGAACGACTGGATCATTGCGCCCACCGGCTACTACGGGAACTACTGCGAGGGCAGCTGCCCGGCCTACCTGGCGGGGGTGCCCGGCTCCGCCTCGTCCTTCCACACGGCCGTGGTGAACCAGTACCGCATGCGGGGGCTGAACCCGGGCACCGTGAGCTCCTGCTGCATCCCCACCAAGCTGAGCACCATGTCCATGCTCTACTTCGACGACGAGTACAACATCGTCAAGCGGGACGTGCCGAACATGATCGTGGAGGAGTGCGGCTGCGCCTGAGGGCGGTGCTCGGGCGGTCCCGCGGCGGGGGGCGCGCTGTGCGCGGCAGGGGGGGGCCGTGGTGGTGCCGCCGGGCTGCCCGGGAGGTGCCCGGGGGAGGCCTGAGGTATTTTCCTACTTCTTCATCCAGCCATCAGTCAAAAGCGGAGGGAGAACCCTCCACGGACACGGCGGACCCGACAGTGCGCACGTGGGGTGGGCGCGCACAGCCGGTGGCACCGTGCCACCCACACAGCAGCCTCCGCGATAGCAGCGAAGGGATGCGGTGACAAAGGGCAGCTCAGCCCCAAACGCCTGTCACCCGGAGAGTGGGGTGAGCAGCCACCATCCCCACCAGCTGGCCTGGCCACTCTGAATCGCGCCTTCCGAGCACACAGAAGAGCACAAAGACAGAGACACAGAGAGAGAGAGGGAGGGAGCCCCGCAGAGGAGCAGCAGAGGCGGAGGTGGGGAGCGGGCCGCGGGCGATGGCCGCGCGTCCCCTGTCGCCTGTGCAGGGCCCGCAGTCCCGCGGCATCTCTTGGCTCCAACGCGTGGGCTTCGTTCCCCGGCCTGGGATCCTTCCTGCTGCGGGGACCAGGGCAGCCCCCATCCTTTCCCACCCTTGGAGAGGGAAGGAGGCCCAGAAAGGACATCACCTGCCGGAGACGGTGGGGTCGTGGCAGTGACCGTTTGACTGTTGCTTGGGTCCCTGGCTTGACTTCTGTGTGTGTGTGTGTGTGTGTGTGTGTGTGTGTGTGTGTGTGTTTTGGGGGTGGGGAGGGACGGAGAGGAGAAGGGTCTTAATTTGATGCTTTAACTGATCACTAGCAGTTGAATGGTCATTCGTTCCGGTTGTACAATTGAAAAGGGACTTTCCTACCAGGTCTGACCTTTTAAGTTAAAATCTGAATTGTTCCAAGTGGAAAGAAAAAAGTTGCAATCTGCCCTTCCCTGGGGAGATTTCCTCTAGGACTGGTTGGGGAGGAGTGGAAATGACTCTTAGGCAGGTGGGGGTGAGCTCTTAGGAGGAGGGAACGGTGGGGTGAAGGCATTCTGGAAATGCTGGGGGCGGGGGGGGGGGGTGAGGGAGCGCAGCAGTGCAACTGGTCTTGGGGAAACGGGGGAGGCTTTCAGCTGCTTTGCAGAAGTGGCCCACGTGGGCCCCCGGCCACTGGCGCCGGCCACAGATGTGGCCCCCGCCTGCTCGCCCGCCCTCCTGCCCCTCCTAGCACTTGCACACCTGCCTGATCGCACATGATACAGCCCTTGCTTATCCGCGTGTGTCCTGAAGTGGCCCTTGGTGGAGCATTGAGCTCGCTCGCCCCCAGAGGTCCAAGTGCCACGTGAGCTATGCAATTTAAAGGGTTGACCCACACTAGACGAAACTGGACTCGTACGACTCTTTTTATATTTTTTATACTTGAAATGAAATCCTTTGCTTCTTTTTTAAGCGAATGATTGCTTTTAATGTTTGCACTGATTTAGTTGCATGATTAGTCAGAAACTGCCATTTGAAAAAGAAGTTATTTTTATAGCAGCAAAAAAAAAAGAATACAGTTAAATGTATTATACATAATTTTGGAACCAAAGAGGCCAACAGATCAGTTTTAATTTTTATTAGATGGCGAGGCCATCTTACATGAGGTGGACGTTCTGAACAATCCCTTGAGTGGCCTGCCAGTGTTTCAGGGTATAAATGGATTTTGTTTATTCAGTTTGATGTGTCTTTTCTATCCTTACACACCCAGAAGGTAGAGTAAAAAAGACGATGGTAGGATGCAGGTGTGTATCCTTAAATCCCCATCTTTGTGTTTATTTAATAAAGCTCCCCTTAGGTTCTGTTTCATAATAATTTAAAACCAAACAATTTTCCCGTAGACTTGCTGTTAAAGTATTTTACATTTGTGTACAGTTCAAGAAAATAAAAGATGGAGTGCCACGGGCTTCCTGCCTTGTGTGGTGTCTGGGGTGGTGGGCTCTGGGCTCGAGGGGGCAGCTGCGGGGGGAGGGCGAGTCCTGGTGTATGGCTTTGATGCCAGTTGCCTCCCTGGGCAGCTCCCGGCATTCTCTGAGTCCTTGCCACGAGCTCGAATGTCAGGCAGAGAGTCTAGGAAAAGTGGCAGGAGATCCAAATGAAGGACAATTAGCAAATTCATGAATTACACATTTGTTTACTCTTCTAGTCCCAAGACTAATCATGTTGCACCAAGACGGCGTCTAGTACCATTTGAAAGTGCCGGTTAAGCCCCTTCCCTGGGAACAAATGTGAAACCTGGGAGGTTGAAGCCCACCTGACCCCATGCCCATCCCCATTTACTAACAGAGGCGACTGCGACCCGGAAGAGGTTACCGTCTTGGGATGGAAGCCAGAAACAAGGCCCTGAGGACGCCAGGTGTCCTCTCCTGTGGGGATTTTAACTGGCCGTAGGTGGTGGTGGTGTTAGTAGTGACACCGGCCCAACTGCAGTTGCAGGGATGCCCGGAGATACCCACCGGATGCTGTTATCAGGCCACCCTTGTATCATCACGCCTTTGTGGGAAATGGCATTTCCCAGAGTTTGGAATCTGAGGCTCAGAGAGGTTCAGGGCTTACCTGAGGTCACGGAGACAGGACAGGCACCCTGGGCATTTGAGTCCAGGTGCCACAGCTGGTCCACCTGTTCCCCTGGCAGGACCGCAGGGCTGAGGCCTTGCTTCATCAGAGGCCCTACGGGGACAGAGGGGCTACAGCGTGTGGTTTGGGGGTCACACGTGGTCTTCCCAGAAATCTCAGGACATTTGAACAAGTGGGACCTTAGGGGTTATCTAACCCCATTAAGACAACAACTGGGAAACAGGGAGCTCTGGGCAGCTGGAGGGCCACCTCGATTCACATGGCCAGCTAGTGGCAGGACGGCAGCCTCTGGCCTCTGTCTTTTTCTAGTCTTTGCCCGGCCAAGAGAGCTGCTGCCCTGCCAGGCTTTCGTCTGAGGGGTGCATTTGTTCATCTGTGATGTCTCGAGATGGTATAAAAGTTAACGGGGGCAAAGAAGAAAATTTCGCAAAGACGGGCCTGGCCTGGACGTGTTAGGGTATAAAAGTCACCATCCAACTGCCCCCCGCCCAGGAAGTTTTGCCGCAGTCACCAGGGTGCCTCTGCTCTTTCGACGTTGAGCATCTCCGGGCGCCCTCCTGGGTCACAGGGTGGCCCACAGGTCCTGCGGGGGCCCCAGGAATGGCCTGGGATTCCGAGGTTCGAGGCCAGCAGCCAGCAGACGTGGTCCCCGAGTGGCGCCCTGCTGCCCTGTGCTGGTCTGTGCCCTGACGGGTCAGCCCCACAGCTGCCCCCCGCCGGGGCGATGGTGGGTGGCACTTGCTGTCCCCCTGAGGACAGGCTGCATCCCTGTCCCAGGGCTGGGCCTCCTCCCCTGGCAGGGCCGTGCGGTTTCCTCCCTGTGCTTCTGTGGTCCTTGCCTCTCTGTTCTTTCCTCCCGGTGGCTTTTCCCCACATTCTCTCCCTGCCCCTCTTCCCAGGGGTCCTGGCCTAGGGTCCCACCTCTCCCCAGAGGCGCCCCTGGAGCCTCCACTGCAGCCCAGAGAGTGAGCCTCCTGTGCTGCCCACCCCCACCCCCACCCCCGGCCCCGGCCCTTCTGCTGTCCTCCCCTCTGTCCCTCTCTTCCTTCTTCAGGCCACCAGGCCATTAGCCTCTCCCAGGGCCGGCGCGTCAGGCCGGGCCAGCCAGAGCCAGAGCGGCCCGCCCCACCCGCCTCAGCTATTTCCACGCTCTGGATTCGCCCTTGGCTGACCTTCAGACGTGCCTCGAGCCCTCAGCGACCCAGTGGAGTCTGAGGCTGGGGTCGGGGTGCGGGGGGGACCCCCCACTCTTCCCTCGCATCGCTTCTCCCCATTTCCCAGACGGGCAGACGGAGGGTCCAGGAAGCAGGGCCTCCAGGGGTGTCCTGCATCTGCTTCCTCTCCCAGCCCCCTTGGGCGTGATGCCGTGGCCGCCCGGCGGGGGTGCTGAGGATCCCTGCTGCAGTTCCAGGCGAGGGCTGCTGCACCGGGCCGGACCCCTGGCCCACCTGGAGCTCGCGCTGGCCCCGCACCATGCCCTCGGCAAAGCCCTGTGGGAACTCTTGCTGGGGACCCCCAAGGGGCCTGGCAGTCTCCCCTCCTGGGCCTCCTGAGAGGGCGGGAGGGGGTGGGGAGGCCACAGGCTGTCGCCAAGCCAAGGAGACGGCTGCAGGCTGGGGAAAGTGTGCCTTTGCAGGCAAAGAAGCCGAAACAAAACACCCTGCCAGTGGCCAGAGGCCCTGGTCGCTGGGCTTTCAGTGGGATGTTTGGAGCAAGCGGCAGATTACCTGCGGGCTTTGCTGGAGGGCTGGGTCTGCGGTCCGCGAGGCCTGGGGTGAGGAGTGCTCAGGCGCTGAGCCGCGTGGGGGTGGGGATGGGCTGCGGGTGAGGCTGCGTGACGTGCGGCTCTGTGCCTGGAGGTGCGTCTGCCTGTCTGCTGAGCCGTGGAGGGCGTGAGGCTGTGTCCGTGGCCATGCGCGGTGGGCTGTGCGCGAGTTTGCCCGGGTCTGAGGTTGTGTGGCTGAGTGTGAGACCCTGTGGGGTGTGAGACTGTGACTGTGGCGTGTGGTTGCTCGGTTGCCTGATGTGTATTTCTTGCCATTTTCATTTTCTTCCTCGTCAAAAAATGATGCCCTTGGCCAGTTATACACGGTGATGGGGTTCATTATATTTTTAAATCTGGGCTAGATCACCCTCTTGCCGGACAGGTGCTGGGAGCAGGCGTGGGTGCAGGCGCCATTTCTGTGGCCCGCGTGTTCGCCCTCAGTGTGTTTTCACAGCCCCGCTGCCCTGCCCTGGCCGTTCAGTGCCGGGTCGGGGGATGTCACTGTGGTGTCCCTGCAGCCCCAAAGCCGGAGCACTTTGGAAGTAGAATGGGGACTTCCCTGGTGGTGCAGTGGTTAAGAATCCGCCTGCCAATGCAGGGGACACGGGTTCGAGCCCTCGCTGGGGAAGATCCCACGTACTGCGGAGCAACTGAGCCCGTGCGCCACAACTACTGAGCCTGCATGCCGCAACTACTGAGGCCACGTGCCGCAACTACTGAAGCCTGTGCGCCTAGAGCCTGTGCTCCACAAAAAGAGAAGCCACCGCAATGAGAAGCCCGTGCACTGCAACGAAGAGTAGACCCCGCTCGCCGCAACTAGAGAAAGCCCGCGCGCAGCAATGAAGACCCAACGCAGCCAATCAATCAATCAATCAATCAATCAATCAATCAATTTATATTAAAAAAAAGGTAGAATGGCACTGTCTGGTCAGTCCTTTAGTCACTCAACAAATATTTCCTGGGTGCTTGCTCTTATTCATGCGTCATCTCAGTTTAGTCCTCACAACAGCCCAGGGCTGGATGGGGAATAGGTATCGTTATCCCCATTTTATGGATGA